TTTCCTTTAAAAATTTGGACTGTTTCTCGATTTATGCGTGTCATCCTTGTGCAGGGCCCATGCTAATCTTCTCTGTATTCTTCCAATTTTAACGGATGTCCCGAAGGACAGAAATCATGCATACTAATCAACTGAAAATTACATATTATCTACCTGTGTCTAATCAGTTTAGTCATAGCAAAGACCAGCAAGCAATGCTCAAGCCAGTGCTTCAGCTGTTATTGTAATGTTCTCTTTCTGGGTTTTCCTTTGCGCCCATGCATGGAATGACATTTTTCACGTCGCATGTGGGATAACCCCTAACATCATTGAAGCTGTCTGATTCTGTTGAGATCTCAAGTCATGCTCTGTTCATCGACGGTCACGTGTGTGTATCAATCATTCGGTCACACGGGCTGGGTGCCAATAACACGGAACTTGAGAATCTCCCTTGTTTGTCTTGATAAGGTTTTCCTGACCGGTTGTGGTTTGTGCTTTGACTGGGTTGCTGTGGAAGAGTCATCTGCATGAAGCTGATTTGGTGGTGACACGTGGTGTGCTGCAGTGAGTATATTGCTCTGACATTATCGGCCCACTCAATTGTCCTCTTCTCTTTCCAGTGTCATAAGGCATTGTGACTTCGGTGTATTAGCATGATGTACTCTTCGACCCCTTCTTCCTCCGTTTCTACTATCACCGTCGTCTCCTCAACCTTGTTTGAAATGTTGGCTGGAAGATCTGTAACCAAAACGTTTGTGGGTCTATGTCCGAATAAATGACAGCTTGCTTAACCACCTTTCTTGATTAAACCACAAGTACATTTCCCAGTTATTTTGTTGTGACGCAACCATATATGCACCGTGTCTTTTGGGCTTGGCCTACGCGATCTGTTCCATTGGCAGTGCTAGCGAAAATTAAAAAACGTTTTGCCCCGTGCTCGTTTATTTCTGCTTTAGTGCACAACACAAATCTGCCTGGGGAAAAAGAGGCTCCGAAGTAGTGGTGGTTTAAGTTAGGAACCTAGGCTACCAGCCGGGCCGCCCGGGTCACCCTATTTTCCTGGACGGCCCGGTCGTGCAATGACCAGGAAATGTCCAAGAAAAAAATAAAAATAAAAGAAATCTAGGCTACCAGAGTGGCCCGGGGTCACTTGCCCCGCCGGGCCAAAAAAAAGAAAAAAAAGAAAAATAAAATTTTAATTTCAAATTTTATTTTTTATTCTAAATTTGGTGAAGAATTTTGATGTGACCCTGAGGCAAAAATTCTTCAGTTTATTTTTCTGCATAACAAAGTTTTTTTTAGGATTTTGTGGAAATTGTTTTTTTTTTTTTATTATTTTTTTTTTTTTGGCTGGGACCTTCCCTAGTGCTTGCATTGGCTGCCCACCCGGGACCTGGGCGGCCCGGCTGGTAGCCTAGTTAAAAATCCGAAAAAAAACTATTTGTAGACAATTAAACTGAACAACTTTTGCCTCAGGGTTACATCGAAACTCTTTACCAAATTTAAAATAAAAAATAAAGGTTTTTTTTTTTTTTTTTTTTTTTTTTTTTTCCCGGGGGGGAAGTGGCCCCGGGCCACTCTGGTAGCCTAGTTAGGAACAGATTTTGCTAATCTTTGCCCCCCTCCCCCGTCTTGAATCTGCCCGCTCGGCCCTTTCTCTCCTCCCTCTCCCTTTTCTCAGTGTTTCCCTCTTTTTTTCTCTCTTCTGAGTCTTCTCCCTTTTTCCCCTTTGCCTACCCCCACCCCCTTTGTCTCCCTCATGGTCTGCTGTGATCCTTATATTCATCAATTGAGCTTCGTCGGGTTATCGATAGTATTATATGCCAATTTGAGTTCTGATGGCAAGACAGAAAAGGCAACGGTGTATGACATGTGGAGCGATGAGGCAATAACCACCAGCTAACAAAGGATGTGGAACTAAAGTCACCAACAAGATAGGATGTAGAACTATCTAAACTGAATCTGGACGTGAGTGAGTCAACATACATCCAGCAAAGCCTTAGTGACGGCATGGCCAAGTGTGCTTGAATGGAGAGAAGCAAAGAGAGTACACACTGCTTTGAGGTGGCTATTACGGTTCGCATATGGAGGGAGAGGCAAAAAGGTCAGGATTGGAGGCATTTGAACATTTGTTTGTTGCACTGGGATTGAACGATCGGCGGAACATATTGTAAGAGCGAAGAGACGACCTGCAAGCAGAGGCACTATTACTATATCATGAGGTATAATTGTACGCCTGCATTACCAGTGAACCCACCACCATCTTCTCTCGCAGCATAGAAGACGGGTGCATTTTCAAAATCTGTAACCCGGGGAATTTGCAGGCCTGACCCAGACCCGGACGTTGCTAGACGTCTGGCCGGATGCATGTCTAGACCTGTCTGCTGCCTTACCTCTCCGGACATGTGGACCGCCAGACATGCCAGGGTCCAGATAGTCCAGAGTGTCTGGAGCATCCAGAAATGTCCTGACTGCAAACAAAAACAGGAAAAAAAACACAATTGTACACTACATGCTACTGCCATATAAAATAATGTAACGTAGACGGAACAAACAAACAAATGAAATCAAAGAACTTCACTTAGTTCACTGAACACACTGCAACACACATGCACACCCCTGCACATATACTGTTACAAACTCTCTCTCTCTCTCACACACACTCTCTCTTTCTCTCTCTCTGACACAAGCACTCACACACACGCAAATGGACACACAAACTGGGTGCTGCATGGCGGCTTCGTTGTAGGTGTGATCATACCCGTGTCAATGGGGCAGACATAAAAAGATGTTATTTTGGATAAAAACATACCACAAAGCATTTGCAAAAAGTCCCAAAGACAGAACTTCCAATTTTGAGAAAGTTATGGCCAGATTAGGCCCCTCTCTCTTCTCTCTGTGTGTGTGTGTGTGTGTGTGTGTGTGTGTGTGTGTGTGTGTGTCTCTCTCTCTCTCTCTCTCTAGCTCGCTCACTCGCTCCCCCCTGCCCCCCGGCCCCCCAAGCTCCCCTCTCCACTCTACTCTATTCGACGCTTTTTAGCAGCAAGGGGCTCATCTTCAGAATCAGGGTTGGAAGATTCTGAGGATTCGTCTGTGTTTCTGTCCTCCCCTGCCTCCTTCGTCCTCTGCTTCTGCGTCTTTGCTGCTCCCCTTCCGAGATGCTTCAATGTCTTCTGCCAGCTGCCTCACCTCTACCTGCATCTCCTCTCCCCTCCGCACCTTCCAAGGTCGCCCATGGGGTCTTTTTGTAGGTGCCTTCCCTGCAACCTCCTGTACTCTTTGCTCCCCTGCCGAGATCCCTCTGTATCTTTGGCTGCCCTACCCACCTCCACTTGGGCTACACCTTCCGCGGTGCCCTGGGGGGGCTCTTTGGAGGCACCCTCGCAGTTGGTGCGGACATGTGGGCTCTGGCGTTGATATACTGCTCAGTGTGCTCAGATGTTATAGTCTTGTTTGCACGCTGAGATTCCTCCAAATGCAAGCGGGCTAGGTACTGGAAGGCTGTGTGGATTTCCTCCATGAAGGTATCTCCTTGTTGAGCTCCCTTTTGAGCTCATGCAAAGTGCTGGTAGCCCGCTGCTGTGCCATCTGGCCTTCCCTCGGCCTCTCATCACGATCCCCATTGTCGTCACAGTCATCGTCACCGTCTTCCGGACCTTCCCTCTCCCCACACAGCTTGGGTCTCTGCTCCACCCTCTTCTTTGCCTCTTGGTATAGTTGCTCCATCGTTAACTCCCCATTCCCAATCCTCCCATGGCACTTCATTTTGGAGTCCTCATCTTCTTTCGGTTTCTTCTTAAGACTTTGTCCAACAGATGCTGGTTCCATTGGCTGTCCGTCAGTCTACTCTATTGAGGCTATTGGAGCGAATCCTCTCGAAGAGGCTCCAATTCTGCTCACACCTGGAGGCAGAGGTCCCCTCTCCGAGCAAAGGGACTGCTTGACGTTGCAGGTCAGGCATCTCGGTGCACCACTTTATCACCCTCTCGCCGCCTGTCCACCATGTCTGTTTGCCAGAGCCTTCTCGCTCTTGAACTCGTCTGTCCCTTCTATCAAACAATTCACCTTCTCCATCACCTCTAGGTCCTCCAAGCTCGACGGTGGGAGGAACGTTTCTGTGCAATGCAGTGGGGAGGTCATTTCGTTCCACCGCCACAAGATGTTCTCTCGAGCTTGTCCTTCTCCAAGCCCGTGAAACATTCCTCACTCCGCAGGATCTCCACCACCCTGTCCATGTCATCGTAGATTTTGCTGATCATGGGACCGACTCCATCGCTCAACTTCAACAATGCGAGCAGCTTTTTGGATGCCTTCTGGACCTTTTCCACTCCAGCCCATGTAAAGAATTTCCTCCCCAATGATAACCCCTATGATAACCTCCTCCCCAATCTTGCGGATAACCTTTGGCAGGTTGTTGAAGTATGCCACCGTGCCTTTGTCATGGTGCTGCATACAGACGGCCTGGCTTTGTCACGGCGCTGCGGAAAGGAAACCGTAATGTTTATGAATGTTCTCCATTGTTGGGCAGTCCAGCCATCAACATGCAAAACGCAACTGGTGGCGGGCCACTCCTGCCACAGCTGCTCCATCCTCGTTGACATCCTCTTCTGCGTGACAGCCACCCTATCACTACAGACTTCGACAAACTTGGCATAGTGGAAGGACTTGGGAGTGTTCGTAAGTGATTGACCATCGTGTCCCAGTAGACGCTCCCGCATCATGTGGAATGGCATGCACTCTGCTCTTATCCAGTTGTTGATCGGCCGCTGAACTTCTTTGTCCGCAGTTATAACAGCCGTGCTGTCGAGGATGGTTGTTTGCTTAGCCCGCGGTGTGCACAACTGTGATGGCGGGAGGCTACTCTGCATCATTCTCGTCCTGCTCTGATGATGCAGCGCATGCGTTGCAGCATCTCTTCTTCCTTGCACCCTCCTCGACAACTCCTGTCGTGCTGATTGTGCCACTCATTGCATGTGCTCCTTGCTCATCGTGCCACGCAAACGTGCAACATTGCATGCGCCTTTGAGGGAATGCTCCCTGAGGCAGGGGGCTACTCCTCAGTAGTTGGTTTTACTTAACCTGTTTCCCTTCGATGGATCGCCAGCAAATTTGACGTCCTCGAAGTGCTTCTTCATGGCTTGTGCCGCATTCTTAATCATAAGTAGTGCGCATGCAGTAAAAGAAAAATGTGGCGATCACAGTAAGAGTCTGAGTCATTCCCAGCCTCCCCCCTCCTCTGTCCAATCATTCCCTCTCCCCGCCCTCTCGCCTCTCGTCCGGACAAATCTAGATCAGGGAGACTGATTGATTGGTTCACTGACCCTGATTGACTGGGGCAAGGTGGAGGAGGGGGTGTGGCTGTGGGGTAATAGAGCTGAATTTGGAGACAATGGACGGCTTTTCCCTGCCCCCACTTGGGTTCAAAAAGTCTGAAACGATTCCATGCGGTGGCGGGGCTTCATCAAACGGACCCCAAAAGAATCGGACAGCATCTCCCTTCCCTGCATGGGGTCAGAAAGCCCAAAAGGATTCCATGCAGGGTTGGGACTTCACCAAACGAACCTCAGAAAAAATGGACAGCATTTCCCCACCTCCCATGGGGTCAGGAAGTCCGAAATGATTCCATGCAGGGGTGGGGCTTCGCCAAGCGAACTTCAAAAGAGTTGGACAGCATTACCCTTCGCCCATGGGGTCAGATAGTGCAAAATTGTTCCATGCAGGGGGGGAAGGGGGGGGGTTCACCTCTGAAAAATCAGACAGCATTTCCCCACCGCCAATAGAGTCAAAAGTGCAAAATAATTCCGCTTGGGGGTAGGGGTTCGCCAAATGAACCTTCAAAAAAATTGGACTGCATTTCCTCACTCACCATGGGGTCTAAAAGTGCAAATGGATTCCATGCGGGGTTGGGGGTTTGGCAAACGAACAAAACAACAGATAGATAGATAGATAGATAGATAGATAGATAGATAGATAGATTGGTTGATGGATTGGCTGGTTAGTTGGTTGATGGATTGATTGATTGATTGCGATCAAGCAATCAATCTATCAGCCAACTAACGGACCAACGAATCTGAAAGCAGAACCGAGAAGAGCTTTACAATTCGGAGATCTAGAATTTCGACAAGTAGCGATACTAATCCAATTTTTTTCCCCACAAATCTGGCGCAAACACGAGAAAACTAAGGGATGGGAATGATGGAAATAGCCGAAGGAGAGACGAGAGATGGAAACTAGGGGGCAAAGCGAAGGGAGAGACTAGAGATGGAAACAAGGGAGAAACCGGAGGGCTGGAGACGAGGGATGGAAACGAGAGTATCGGAGGGATGGAGACGAGGGAAGAATCCAAGGGCTAGACGAGAGAGGGAAACAAGGAGAAAGCTAGACGAGAGAGGGAAACGAAGGAGAAAGCCAAGGCAGAAGAGAGACAGAGAGAGCGTAGATTGTCTGTGTCCAAGATGGTGGATGTTGTGTATCCTGGATTGTCGAAGATAAAGTAGAGAGAGGATACTGTCTATGTCGAAGATTGTCGACATCGTGTTGTGAAGTCGTAGAGAGAGAATAAATTGTCTAGGTCTAAGATGGTGGATGTGTATTGTTGAAGTGGCTGAATGTCCGAGAGAGAGAGAGAGAGAGAGAGAGAGAGAGAGAGAGAGAGAGAGAGAGAGAGAGAGAGAGAGAGAGAGAGACCTTGCTGATTGGTTGATGGCTTGGACTCCTGGGCAAGATGTTTTCTTCGTGTAGATCGCCGCTTCCGCTGCACTTCGCACCTTCTCTTTCTCCTTCCCCCCCCCCCCCCCCAGCATAGCGAGGGCAGTTGTTCGACGCCCAGTTGGTTATGGCGTGGCTCTATTACAATGCGCAGGCGATTCTCTAACAATGGGTTCCTTCGAATGGCGCTGCGAGAGAGAGAGTGATGGCAGACCCATGCAGCAATTAGCAATGAGGCGAGGCCAGTTGGAATTCCGTTTGTCCCCCCTGACCCCACCCACAAATGAGGCTGCCAAAACAAGGCCTCCAGAACAAACGACTTGCAACACAAGACGACAAAATAAATCAAAAACATGAAATTCACTTTTGCTCATGTCCGGCCTGAAAAGAAAAAACAAACAAATGGTCCTCGAAAGTTACCCAACTGCTGGGGGGTTGCCTTGATGTTAAGAAGGGTTCTGGCCGACCCACTTTTCTGTCTTTGTTTTTGGTATCTAGGCCCAATCTGGACCTTCCCAACCGAACGTCTGGGTGTAGGTCTGGATCTGGATCGTCTGTAAGGTGGGCAGGACGTCTGGACCGTAGTCATGATTGTTTGTTTTCTCATTGTTAGGGTCAGATCCCACTACCCTGGATTATTCATTTTTCACCCTCGATTACGAAGATCAACGGTCAGAAATGAACAATAGGGGCTAGTGGGATCTGGCCCTTATTTGTTTTCTGATCGTTATTTGTTTGTTTGTCTGTTTTCTGATTGATTTTTTGTTTTCGTCTGTGAATGCTTGGTGAGAATCAAAGGTTTAGGTTATGGAAAGCCTGAAGGGGCCTGCATGTTGTTTTACAGACGAGGTGAGCTGCTTATGGGAACGACAGATTGTGAGAAGGATCTTGTCAAAACCAAAATCCAAATCAGCACAGTTAATCTGTTTTGTTATTCTCTCGTGTGTTTTGTGCTTTCATTCAATGGGATGATAGATATTTGGCAGTCGGAAAGTTATGGGACGCAACTCAATTGCTTGACGAGGTTCGACACAGGTGCTGCAACAACATTCAAGATGATGATGCGCCTTGGCTGCCAGACTCGCCGCTGATGCATTTTAACCGATTCCTCCTCTGCGCGTAAGTGCAAAATCTCCTGTCTCTCTGTGTCTGTTGGACTTGGTCTGAACACGTGTCGCTCAGGGTTGCGTGCTTCTGTCTCTGATTTTCAGCTCTTAGCCTATCCACTATCAAGAACTCCAAGATGGATCGATCTCACTGATTGCCTTAAACCACCAGTACACGCCTCGCATCGGCCGCATGGCCGTGTCAGAGGCTGGAAAACGACACCGGCCGTTGATTTCATTTATCGACGGTGCGCCGACGCCGACGTTTCGGGATAGGTGAGGAGTCTCTTTTCAGCAGCGGCTGGGGCCGAGTACTGGCGGTTTAAGTCTTCATCTTTTCCCTGCGCTCTCTTGAGAATTAGACGTCAGCCATGTGTTGTTACCCTACCCCCTACCCCCCCCCCCCCCCCCCCCCCCCCCCCCCCCCCCCCCCCCCCCCCCCCCCCCCCATTCCCCACTACCCCCCCCACTTCCCATCCCTCCTCATATATGGCGTTTTCCAAGACGAAAAAGAGTGCAGTATAACAACTGTGTGTGAAAATTATGGGAGTTTAAGCCACCAGTAGCTGGCCACCTGGGCCGAGGGTTTGACACCTCAATTTCTGGAGGCGCGAAACGAAAACGGGGCCGCCGATCGAATTTATCAACGGTGGGCCCAGCGTTTGACGTTCCGGCCTAGTTTTCTTGTGGCGACAAGTTTCGGACTGCAAGGCTGTGGCCGTGTACTTGTGGTTTAAAGCCTCTGAAATACAGCAAAAAGGGTGTTGGACCAACGAACCTAGCTGAGTTGGTGCAAACTGTTAAAATACAGACCTGATGAATGAGAATTCTGAATTACCTGATTTACCAGGGCCTGGTCAGTTTGATAATGATATCTCAAGGACCATTAAAAAAAAAAAAAAAAAAAAAGTGTTGGGAGGAAGGAGGTCCTGGTGGTGCTGGTGGTGATGGGGGCAGGCAAAGGAAACACATGCATACACCATAATTATCGTCAACAGGTGACTATCTGGGCCCCATCATAGCCTATTCAATCTCCTGACATTATAAATCTCCCTTTGCACATGCTTGTTACTTGTTTTCCAGATTTCCACTACATTATCATCGTGGAATCGACGATTGGCATCTGGAATGCAAAAGTGGACCTTTCACACATCCCGACTTGCCACACAAATTGGCAGCCCGCTTTTACCTGGACTAAACGTGCGTGACCTGCTGATAAAGTGTGGGGCTAGCAGTGAACCAATGCAACCCCATGCCCCAGCACCCCTCTGCCGGTTCTCTATCTCCGCTGAGGCTGCTCATCATTCTGGCAGCCCAGTGAATTGCACATTATTCACACCGTTGCCTGATGAGAGACAGCAAAGATGGAAGCGCATGTTCAGCTGTGGCATTATCACCCTCTCTCTCTCTCTCTCTCTCTCTCTCTCTCTCTCTCTCTCTCTCTCTCTCTTTTTTTTTTTTTTTTTTTTTCT